GAGAGAGAGATAGAAGAGAGGAGAGAGAGAGGCGGAAAAAGAGAAAAGGACGAGAGAGAGAGAGAGAGGAGTGAGAGAGGAGAGAGAGAGAGGGAGAGAGAGGACAAGAAGAGAGAGAGAGAGAGAGTAGATTAAGAGAGATCGAGAGAGAGACTGACGAGAGAGGCAGTCCATATAACACGCGGGCCATACAGCCGGCCACCGCAGCCGACATGCTCCTACTTCGGCCCGTCCCTTCCCCTCCTTCTATTTTCCTCTTCTCTTCTCTCTCTCTCTCTCTCTGCCTTTCTCTCTCTTCTCTCCTCGTCTCTCTCTCTCTCTCGCTCTCTCTCTCTCTCCTTCTCTTCTCTCTTCTCTCTCTCTTTCTCTCTCTCTCTCTTTTTTCTGTCCTCTCTCTCTCTTCTCTCAATTCTCGCTCTCTCTTATCTCTCTCTCTCTCTCTTCTCTTCTCTCTCCCTTTCTGTCTTTTTCTCTCTCTCTTCTCTTTCTGTCTCTCTCTCTCTCTCTTCTCTCTCTCTTCTCTCTCGCTCTCTCTCTCTCTCACTCGCCTCTCCTCTCACTCTCCTCTCTCTCTCTCTCTTAATTCTCTCTCTGTCTCTTCTTCTGTCTTCTTCTCCCTCTCTCTCTCTCTCTCTCTTCTCTCTCTTCTCCTCTCTCTCTGCTCTCTCTCGCTCATCTCTCTCTTTCTCGTTTCTCTCTCTCTTCTCTCTCTCTCTCTTTCTCTCTCTTATCACTCTCATCGTTCTCGCCTTTCCACCTCTCTTACTCTTCGCTCTCGCGCCTCTATCTCTCTCTCTCTCTCTCTCTCTCTCCTCTTCTCTTCTCCCCTTCTCGCTCTCTCCCTCTCGCTCTCCCCCCCCTCTCTCCTCACGGCCTCTCTCCACTCTCGCTCCCTACCTCTTACACGCTTCGTTCGCGCCTTCAACACGGAATTACATCACACACGAGCCTTTCGCATTATTTGTCGCTCTGATTAAGCAGCTCTTCGTGAGAAGGCAGGGGGGCCTTTGCTCCTGCTGTCTGCTGCTACCGCTGCTGCTCCTGCTGCTGCTGTTACATGCTACTACTGCTGCTCCTGCTGCTGCCCTGCTACCGCTGCTGCTGCCTGCTGCTGCTACTACTGCTACTACTGCTGCTCCTGCTGCTTGCTTGCCTCTGCTGCTGCTGCTGCCTCCTGCTTGCTGCTGCTTACCGCCTGCTGCTGCTGCCTTTCTGCTACTACTGCTACTACTGCTGCTCCTGTGCTTGCTGCTGCTACTGGCTGCTGCTTTTGCTGGCTACTGCTGCTAGCTGCTTACTGCTGCTGCTACACGCTGCTGGCTGCTGCTGCTGCTGCTACTGCTGCTACTGCTACTACTGCTCTTGCTGCTGCTGTTACTACTGCTGCTGGCCACCTGCTGCTACTGCTGCTGCCTACTGCGACTACTGCTGCTGCTGTTATTGCTGTTCCTGCTGCCCTGCCCTGTTATTTGTGCCTTGCTGCTGTCTGACTGCGCTGGCTGACTTGCTGCTGCTACTTGCTGCTACTACTATCCTGACTGCTGTGCTGCTGGCTTTGTGCTGCTGCTTGCTTTGCATCCTGCTTGCTGCTGCCTCCTTGCCTGCGTGTACTGCTCCTGATAGCTGCTACTACTGCTTGCTACTGCTGTACTGCTGCTACTGATGCTTCCGGCTGCTGCTCTTGCTGCCTGCTGCTACTGCTTGCTCGCTACTGGCTGCTGCTACTTGCTGCTGGCTGGCTACTGCTGCTGTACTGCGGCTGCTGCTACTTACTATTGCTGCCTCCCGCTTTGTTCGGCGCTGCCTGCTTCTGTTGTTGTTGATCTGCCTTGCTTGTTGGTTGGTTCGCTTACTGCTGTATGCTTCCAATGCTGCTTGTGCTACTGCTTCCCCCTCCCCCCTCCCCCCCACCCCCCTTCCCCCACACCTCCCCCCCCGACACAATGCTGCCGCTGCTACTAACCCGCACCTGTGTGGCCGTGGCCTACGTCGGAATGGAGATTGCCTTGAAGCCTGCCTTGGCTGGGAGGGTACTCGGGCGCGAGAGGAGAACTGGATGATGCTGTGATGATGCTGTTGATGATGCCTGTTGATGATGCCTGTTGATGATGCATGTTGATGATGCGTGCTTGTTGATTGGATGCTGGTTTGGATTATGCGTTGATGAGCTGTTGGATGATTAGTTGATTGATGACGTCGACGGCGTTGGCACCAATTAGTAGGTTTCTTCTATTCGTTTAGGACGGGTTCATGGAGTTTTGTTAGTGGTGTTGCGTATTGCTGCTGCTTGTTTGTTTTTGTTTTGTTTTTCACATACACTCAGTCCTCCCTCTTCTCTCGGTCTGCAGAAGAATCACTTAGCATCAGCAGTAAAGCACCGATCACCCCTCCCTCCCTCCCTCCCCTCCTTCCGCCGTCACATAAACTTTCTGCCCCACAACAAACCACCACCAACCAATCATCCGTTTTTCGCAGCCTTTCACGCAGTTTAAGCCAAGGCCATCGCCGCTTTTCAAATTTAAAAAACGCCCTTGCTGCACCCGGCCTACCCTCCCCGCCCATGTGTTTTTTTTCCATGCCGTTTTTTCGGCCGTCTACCCACGCTTTTCAAATTTCTCGCACATTTTTTACCCATTCGATCAATGGGGCTACACAGTCCCCGGGCGTGTTTATGAGCTGAAGCGCCCAGCCAATGGAGAGAGAAAATAGGGGACGGAGAGAAAAAGCGAGTGAGAGAGGGGATTGAGGGATGAGAAACGTCGCTAGAGAGAGAGAGCGAAAGAAGAGAGAGGAGACGAGAGGAGAGGAGAGAGAGAGAGAAGAGAGAAAAAGATAGAGATAGAACGAGAGAGCACGGGGACAAGAGAGGATGGTGGAGAGAATCGGGAAAGAGAAGGGAGGAGAAGCAAGAGGGAGACGAGATTGAGAGATTTATTCGTGCGCGAGGGATAGCGAGAGAAAACAAAATGAGAGAGAGACGACAGACAGCAAGAGAGAGAGAGACGAGATAGAGATGAGAAGAGAGCAGGGAGAGAGGAGGCAGAGAACATCCGAGAGAGAGAACAGCGAGAAACAGAGAAGCGAGGCGAGCGACGAGTAGAGAGAACAGCGAGAGCTATGCAAGCCGAGAGAGCGAGACGAGCGAGAAGAGAGAGAGGCAGAGAGAGAGAGATGAGAAATGAGAGAGAGAGAGACGAGACTGAGAGACGAGAGAGAGAGAGATGAGGAGGGGAGAGCACGTGCGACGACGGTCGCTCTTCGGTATTTTGTTTCCCGCTGGCGGGACAAAGCGGGGGCCGGAACCACTCGTGCTATATGAGTCGTTAGGTTGTTAGCGGGCGCGCACATAATGCCAGCTCTTAGGGCTCGAGTCGCATGTGCGTGGGGCGGGCAGGCAAGCAGGCGGGCGCGGCCGCTGTGAGGTCAGCAAGGCGGGCGGCCGGGCAGGCAGGCGGGCGGCCGGCAAGAGGGCAGGCAGGCAGCGGGGGGCAGGCAAGGCAGGGGGCGGCCGGCGAGGGGCAAAGGGCAGCTCTACGCCGCGCCTCGAGCCGTAGTTCCAGGTCACGTGGCGTGCGGCCGGGCAGGCAGGCGGGCGGCCGGGAGGGCAGGCAGCTTCGGGCGGGCGCCGGGAGGGAAGGCTAGGCGGGGGCGGCCAGGAGGGAAGGCAGACAGGCGGGAGGGTGGTTGACTGGTGATGGCAGACGATATTGAATGTTTGCCCTGCCTTCTCCTTCCTTTGCTGCCTGCTTTTTCCCTCAATGCGTTCGCCTTCCCTCGCTGCTTTCTCCTTCCCTTGCTGCCTTCTCCTTCCCTTGCTGCCTTCTCCTTGCCTCGCTGCCTTCTCCTTCCTTGCCTGCCTGTCTCCTTCCCATCGCTGCCTTCTCACTTCCCCTTGCTTCCTTCCATTCATGTGCCTGCCTTCTTCCTTCCCTTGCTCCGCTTTCCCTTTCATTGCTGCCTCTCCTTCCTTTGCGCTTCTTCCCATTCATTTGCCCTGTCTCTTCTCCTTCCCTTGCTTCTCCCATTCATTTTTCTGCCTTTTCTCTTTCCTTTGCTCCCTTCCCATTCATTTGTGCCTTTCTCCTTCCCTTGCTTATCATTCATTTGCTGCCTTCTCCTTCATTGCTGCTCTCCTTCCCTTGCTGCCTTCTCCTTCCTTTGCCTTCTGCCCCATTCATTTGCCCTACCTTCTTCCTTCTTGCTTGCCTTCTCCTTCCTTCCCCTGGCTTCTTTTTTGCTATCCCTTGCTAAAGTCTTTTTACAGTAAGTACTTATGATTTCCACCACGGGCTTCCCTCCTCCTGCTATCCTCTTCCTCCTCTCCTCCTCTTATGTTCTTCCCCTCGCTCCCCCTACTCATCCGTCTAGCTCCCTGCTTCCCCTCCTCCTCTGCATTCTCTCGCATCCTACTCTTCCTCCCTTTCTCTTCTTTTCCTCCTTCATCTTACCTTCTCCTCTTCCTCCTGCTTATTACAGAAAGATTGGACTGAGCATGAGAAACTTACCAGCCAACAAACGACTACTTGCTTATGTGTAAAATTCGTTACAATAAAAAAACACTTCCAACAAAACACAAATCAGAACGAAACAATTGCATGTAATTTACAAATTCTTTCATTTAAGATATTTTCATTAAACGTATCAACATTGACGACGAGCGATTGCCGTTCCATTTCTTTCACTACCCCGCGTTCGATTTACGATAAAGAACGTACCCCCACCTGTGTCAATAGACCCGAACAAAATTTGGTGCTATATTAAGTACTCAAACGATTCTCTGAATGATTGAACTAGCACGCGCGTAGAAAACTTTGCAAATCTAAGAAAATATTCGCATCACATTCTAGAAAACCTCAATTACACATCTACGGGACAATCTTATCGTATCTCTGAGTTCGATATACGTTCGATATTAGTTTTATGCTCATCAATCAAACACGAATCATTCATCATCAAACATAATCGCATCACTACGTTGCCACAGGGTCTAACTATCAACATATCTAAACACAAGTGTAAAATTGATAGGTCTCTAGCCACGTTTCACATTCTGCTGGTAACAACAACCTTAAACCACTACGTATTACTTTACCGAACATACTTCTATGAAACAGTTCCAAATTTCAGTTGAAAATAGTTCAGATGGCATCGACTCACGATCGCTATTTACTATCACAGAATATCAACGAATTCCGAAAGGAAAAAATAAATCCTATGCGAATGGATTCTCACAGAAAAATACTTTTCGGGTTAGGAACGGCCCCTACCACATATATATATATATATTTATATTATATATTATTTATATTTATATATTATATTTATATTATATATATATATAGATATATATAATATTATATATTAGATATATATTATATATATTATATTCACTCACATTACATGTATATAAATTATCCTCGAGAGTCAATCTTCATCATCTTATCAACATATCATGGATGGCAAAGCACATCATCAGAGGGACGTTACGCCAGGGGTGCCACACTCATGCCAGGGGGCGCATCTCGCGCTCACAGGTTGAGGTATTCGTTGATGGCGTCCATGAGTTCGGACTTCTTGGTGCCGGTCAGTCGTATGCCCTCGTCCTTACAGTACTGTCGCAGCACAGCCACGGTCATCTTGCCCAGCTAACGAAACAAAACGACGACAAATATTAATATCAATGATTAAATATAATAATTATATTAATAAATTTATGCACGTCAGTACCTTATACGTTCACGCATTTTATGTAACGTAAGTCAAACTATTAGATATGTTTACGTATGTATGTTACGCATCGTTGTATCTTACCTGTTTATGCATAATATAAATGTATATAATATTATATAATAATATACTAATATATATATATCTATATATATATATATCTATCTATAATTATATATATATATATCTATATATATATATATATATCTATAATTATATCATAATATTATATAATATTATGTATAACATTATGTAAACGAACGCGAGTGTTCCCCGATGTTGTACGCACCTTGCCCGCCAGCGCCTCTGCTTTCACGTCCACAGCAACGCCCTCTAGCTTCGGTTTCTTGGCGGCTCCGCCGGCATTGCCCGCAGCCTGCGGCGAAAACAGCAACAGTTAGTAGCAAAAGAGTCTCTAGATATCTCTGCACTGAGGATTGAAAGAGGAAGAACTTACTCGCTTGCACGCACCTTCTCTCTACCTATCTAGACAGCCAGTGAAGGGGAAGGGAAGACATGTCAACTTTGTGTTGCACACTTCTCGTCTACCTATCTTGAGAGTGTTAGCTTCATATAGAGTCTCTAGATATCTCTGCACTAAAGGATGAAGGAGGAAATACTTACTCGCTTGTACGCACCTTCTCTCTACCTATCTGAGAGTGTATAGAGTCTCTAGATATCTCTGCATTCAGAGATGAAGGAGGAAGAACTTACTCGCTTGCACGCACCTTCTCTCTACCTATCTGGGACTGTACAGAGTCCATAGATACCGCTGCATTCAGAGATGAAGGAGGAAAGACTTACTCGCTTGCACGCACCTTCTCTCTACCTATCTGAGAGTGTATAGAGTCTCTAGATATCTCTGCATTCAGAGATAAAGGAGGAAAGACTTACTTGCTTGCACGCACCTTCTCTCTACCTATCTGAGAGTGTATAGAGTCTCTAGATATCTCTGCATTCAGAGATGAAGGAGGAAGAACTTACTCGCTTGCACGCACCTTCTCTCTACCTATCTGAGAGTGTATAGAGTCTCTAGATATCTCTGCATTCAGAGATGAAGGAGGAAGAACTTACTCGCTTGCACGCACCTTCTCTCTACCTATCTGAGAGTGTATGGAGTCTCTAGATATCTCTGCATTCAGAGATGGAGGAGAAAGAACTTACTCGCTTGCACACACCTTCTCTCTACCTATCTAAGAGTGTATGGAGTCTCTAGATATCTCTGCATTCAGAGATGAAGGAGGAAGGAGTTACTCGCTTGCACGCACCTTCTCTCTACCTATCTGAGACAGCAGTGAGTGGAAGACAATCACTTGTACGCACCTTCTCTCTACCTATCTGAGACTGTATAGAGACCATAGATACCGCTGCACTGATACATGATGGAGGCGTATATACTTACTCGCTTGCGCGCGCCGGCTTTCGCAGCTTCCGGGTTGAAGCCATCTGGAAACACCATCTGTTTGAACTCCTCTATGTGTCTCCCAGCTCTCTTCTCCATCATCTCATAATCAGGAACTGCAACGCGAAAGATAGGGTTAGAAAGACGAGGTAGGTTACCTATGTACGAGTCTGTGTACTAGGTACGCAGGGCGCGAAATTAGCACCGGCCCACCGGCATATGCCGGCAAATTATTTGGAAGGCCGGTAACATTGGCAAAACACCGGCCCTCCGAGCCGGTGGGTTCAGCCGTGTTAGCGAGTACCTACATTTTTATTTATAGCATTAATGAGAAAATAGCCTATATTACTGTTTTAATATCATGCCATTATTTATCAACATTTTACAAATTTGAAATCGAGAATGCAAGCGTGAAACATGACATTGATTTTCAAACAAAATTTGTGAGGGCTGGTAAATTATGGTAAGGGCTGATAAAAAATTGCTGTTACCAGCCCTCGGGGTCGGTGTAAAAAAAATCTGAATTTCGTGCCCTGGGTACGTATCTATGTATGAGTCTATGTACTATGTACGTATCTATGTATGAGGATTCAGTCAATTTGTTATTAATTAGTTGTATGCTCCTTGTTATTGTATAATACTGTAAATTCTACACTTTTTACGCAAACAGAAGGTACTCATAATTGGTTACAGTTGTCATTTTAGTTTTAAATAAACGTTTTCATTTCCTGTCTGTCCAAGAAACCGTTAATTAAACTGTCCTTTATAAGGAAGGTGATCATATTGAATAATGAAATCTAATAAAATATGACAAGGATCCATAATTTCCTGATAATTTCTTATATGCTCAAATAGCATACATAAACAAATTGCTAAATACAACCAGTGCTGCAAATCTAGTGCGCCCTCCCACCACCGCGTTGATAGGCTTTGCTATACCGGTAGTACAGTAATAAAGATATAGCTGTGTAACTTTAATGACTTCGCTATATCAACGTTATCATGGATATGCGTCGAGCGCGAGCGTAGTGGTGGGGGGGGGGCTCTAATAGCAAAAGCAGTTCAGTCCTTTGTTAACAGTCAACAAATCTATGTTTAACTCTCCTCTTGAGGGTCAAAAGGTTATCAGACACTTACTCTTCGCACGTCAGCGGAAAGTAGATTTCATGGTCCTTTCAATAAAATGATAAAAAACGGTAGGTCAGCGCTGATGCAAAAAAGTTTTTCACCCGGTCTGTAGACCAACGCTGCTTCCTGCAGAAAAGGTCTGATATCTGACCTTTCCCCCACTGCCTTTGACCTGTGACCTCCAATTTCGCACTGTGATGGGTTTCCTCCCCATCACAACTATATTAAGAGCGTTAGGTCAGCCGTTGAAATTTGTGCCGCAATTCCGGTATCCTCTTATACCTTAAGTTTAGAGGAAAATATTCCCCTCCATTGACACATCTCAACCTTTGACCCTTGACCCCCAAATTCAACATCCTGAGTCCTTTCGCGATCCCCCTCAACGTCCCAAATATCAAAGACCGTACATCGAGCGGTTAAGATTTGTGCCCAACTGTTGACGGACGGAAGGACGCACGCTACGCACAGATGCATGGAGCACGGACAATCATGCGATTCTACGAGCTGCATCTGACTAGTCAGATGAGCTAAAATAGGGATACTGAATATATTACAACTGAATACACGAAATTGTGACCAATGCAAAGATTATTTCCTAATGAAAAATAATGGCCTTGTGTGTTGCCACAAATTGAGTGTTAATACATGCACTGCATGTTATGTATGCAGTTATGTAGGCACATCTTTACGTATTACATTATGTAGACAGCGCTTTATCACCGTACCTGTGTAGTCTACGAAAGATTCCGGTGCATCTCCTCTAGTGCAAAGTTCAATGTTGCGCAATGTTCTGTAACACTGTCACAACAAAACCTTCCATGATACATAATGACTAGATTAGTGTATGGCCTAAACTGCCATGATAAAATACTATAATAAATAATTGCTCTAATAAAATAGGACACAGTTCAGAAAACAACTCCTGTCTTAACATTTCTGACAATGGGCCCCAGTATGGGTAGCCCACCTTACCTGCACACTTAGAACAAATGTGAAAGTTTATAAACGAACATGAAGTTTCATGAATGTTCCAACATGGACAAAAATAATGCAGTTTCTTTTTAGAACGTCAAAAACAACGACCGCCCAGACTTAAATCTGGCTGCAATCATTTGATTGGAAACTAGTTTGGCTCAAATCAACCACCATTACATCACCATAAGCTAAATGCAGAGTTCCACTGCAAAGCATGAGTGTCGCCAAAACATGTACATGCATTGTAACTCCAATGCGATAACACAAACGTTTGCCGTAACCGAACTTCCGTTAAGCGTTCTAACACTGTGACAGACACCACCCGGGTTTTCCAACGACTCGGAGATAGATTATCTTCAATTTCTTTATGACAACGTTCGTTTTCGCAATCTGTCCTCATTAGCTGCCAAAAGAAACAATTTAGTATGAAAACAATGAGAGAAATAGTACAAAACTCGATAGAAATCAAACTGATATCCCATATTCAATATATATCAGAATTCCACACTCGAAGACGATTAATAAAGAAAAATCTTTAAGAAAGAAAAACAAGGATAAAAGACATTTAAAAGAATTCATAATTATTTGAAGATCGAATAAGCGAACTGTGTCGTCAAGATGGTCAGGGATGGCACTGACACACACACAGCGTTGCCCTGGCAACCGTACCTCTCGGCATTTCGCCAGCTTGCAGCTTCCTCAAGTCGTCTGCAACGGCAGGAGACGACGTGAAACCAGGGGAGTCACTTTACTTGTGTTCGTCCATCTCTTCTTTCTAATTGTGAATGATCAATTGTGATCAAAAACAAGATGTACATCAATCTATCACAGGCCAGTTAGTGTTAGAGTCGCCCAAGCTCCCGCAATAAATTATTATACATATATAATATACAGTAAAACCCCGATTTTACACAGCCCGATTTAATGTGAATTTGGTATAACGCGATGAGTCATTGACCCTTTTGCTCAATCCGGAACTGAAAAGTTTTTGGCGAGTTGAGCCGCCTTAGTTCAGATTGCGATTGAATCGACGCGACGCAACACATTGCAACTCACTGCAACTGAGTGCTTATACGCTGATCCTTAAACCCGATTTTTGGGCGACCCCGCGTCCCCCCCCCGACATTTTTATGACCTCAACGATCACTGATAACGGACCACACATGATATTATATTATATATATATAATATTTAATATTATATAGTTATATAATATATATATATATAGTTATAATATTATATATAGTTATTTATATATATTCAACAAATAAAACTTTAATGTATTAATCATCATCATCTAAGCTCAGACTCCACAATAATTATATATATATATATATATAATATATATTATATATAATATATCAATATATACACATATATTATATATTATTATACAAACTCCCCACCTCCTGCCTCTCCTCCCCTCCCTTCCTCTCCCGTCTCCCTCTCCCCTCCCGCACCACCCCCGGTACCTGAGAGGCAGCAGTGCGACGAATCGCGGCGGTGTTCCGTCGAGCCGTGTACTTGCACACGACGGCCCCTCTCCCTCCCTCCCTTCTCCCCCTCCCCTCCCCCCACCCCGGGTACCTGAGGCAGCAGTCGACGAATCGTGCGGGCTGTCCGTTCGAGCGTGTACTGCATCACCGCGACGACGTCCCTCCCTCCCCTCCTTCCCTCCCCCTCCCCTCCCGCCACCCCGCGTACCTGAGGCAGCAGTGGACGAATCGTGCGGGTGTTCCGTCGAGCCGTGTACTGCCACACGGCGACGACGTCCTCTCCTCGCACTTCTGCAGGAGCGCAGCGAAGAGACGGGCTGCTGCCACGCACCGCCTGCGGAAACAAACAACGCAACGTGCACGCGTGCATATCTCTCGATCGGTCGCGTACCGCGGCCGTTACGCCGTTCTTGCCGATATTTATCACGGTTTTTATGCATGTTATTTTTATTTTCAGTTTTAGTTTTTTTAGTTTATTATTTTTTAAACTATAACTCTACTTTAATAAGTTAATAAATAAATTATTATATATATATATGTACATATACAGATATATATAGACATACGTACATATATAGTATATATATAGATATATATACTATATATTAGTTATATTTATATTGATACTCACTGCCTCGTCCGGATAGATGAACTGCGAGGGCTTCACGTGATGGTATCGCTTCAACCTCCGCCGCGGCTTGAACCCCAGCAACGTCAGACCTGCTCACAGAGGGAGCCACGCGTCAGAACCTGACCCCTATATACAGGTTCGACTCACCGGGTGTGACCCCTGTATACAGGTTCAACTCTCTAGACGTGACCCTGTATACAGGTTCGACTCACCGGGTGTGACCCCCTGTATACAGGTTCAACTCTAGCACGACTCTTATATACAGGTTCGACTCTCCAGATGTGACCCCTGTATACAGGTTCGACTCACCGGGCATGACCCTTATATGCAGGTTCGACGCTAGCACGACTCTTATATACAGGTTCGACTCTCCAGATGTGACTCTAATAGTAATATACAGGTTCAAACTTACCGGGCGTGACCCCTATACACAGGTTCACCTCACCGCACATGACCCTTATATACAGGTTCGACTCTCCAGATGTGACTCTAATAGTAATATACAGGTTCGACTCACCGGGCGTGACCCCTATACACAGGTTCACCTCATCGCACATGACCCTTATACACAGGTTCAACTTACCGGGTGCGTCGAATCGCTTGATCGACTCCACTTCGTCCGGATCCATCCAGATTTTCTTCCCACACCACTCCTGGTACTTGGCCATGTCGCTCGGTAGCAGGATTTCTCCCGTTTCCTGTGTGCAGACGAACGGGGATAGATATGTGACCGGGAAGAAAAGGATCCTGGTGGATGTACTCCCTCCCACCCAACCCACCTTCTTTGTCTGATTGATCAAATCAGGAGTAGATAATAGGGAAGGAGTGACATCAATAAACAAGGGAATTCTTCATTACTAGCCCTATAATACCTACGATTTACTACGCGTAACTCATCCAACTTGAGTCAAATCGGACACAGTACATTCGCATAGCATCGTGCGAAATCGTTTCTCGTATACACCCGCCAATCCGGAGATACAGACTAAAACGTACGACACGATTCTCCATTCTTTGCCATCAATCCAAATCCATTTCGCGCCCTCTATTCAACAAAGGCAGCTACCTAACCACAGCTTGCTAACTCGCGCGGCAATGTGGCTCGCGGTGAGATTGAGCCCGATCAGCTGCTGCTGATTGCGGTTGGGTGCGGCGCTGTGAAGCATGCCAGCTATGTGCAGAGTGGCCTGTGTAGCTGCTGTACCGTCAAGGTGTATCTCGCCGAGTGTTGATGGCCTAATCTCCACGACCACATGCCTCGCCGAATTACAATAGCCGTTAGGTAGCTGCCTTTGTTTGAATAGAGCGCGCCAATGATTTGGATTGATGGCCAAAGAATGGAGAATCGTGTCGTACGTTTTAGTCATGTATCTCCGGATTGCGGTGGTGTATAGCGAGAAACGATTTGCACATGATTGGCGAATGTACTGTGTCCGATTTGAGCTCAAGTGATGAGTTACGCGTAGGAAATCGTAGGTATTATAAGGCTAGTAAATGACGAATTTCCCTTGTTTATTGATGTCACACTCCTTCCCTATTATCTACTCCTGATCAAATCGATGATTGATGGAGTCAATGATTGATGTCCGATGATCAATGACCGATCATCAGTCATTTCCAATAATCACTCAAATTAGTCATCAGCCACTTTCAATAATCAATCAAATCGATGACCAATAATTTCCAATAACCAATCAAATCAATAATCAATAATTTCCAATAACCAATCAAATCGATTACCAATACTTTCCAATAACCAATCAAATCAATAGTCAATAATTTTCGTTAATCAATCGAATCGACGATCAATCGGCAATTGGCGTGTGGGGACGGGGGTAGGATAGGGTTACCTCGACGAATCTCTTTGTGATTGTCTTCACTTCTTCGTTGGTGTCCTTGTAAAGCTTGACGGGCGGCGGTATCGACGTGCGTCCCACCAGGCCATACCTGCAGCAGCCGTCCAATACATTAATTACTAAAATTAATTAATTACTTTAATTAATTTTTATTATAATTAATTTAACATGATTTAGTTAATAGCCGTGCGAGGGGAAACATGTCGGACGCGTGAATGCCTGATAATAATATTATTATTACTATTTTATACATTATTATTATTATCATCACCATCGCAGTCAGACAGATTTGTCCCAAATAAATACATTCGTCAATACCTTGATAATAATAAAATAATTTGTCAAATCAATTCTTCTCAGATCGCACGCGGCACGGGAGAGACGGGTTCTCTCTCTCGCACACGCGCGTGGGTTCCCCCTCCGCCCGCTCTCACACTCACACGCTCAGTCCCATCTCGACGCCCTGTCCAAGACGAAACTTCACGCGGCCCACAGATCGCTTCTTGTGATCCTTTGTAAGAGCTCTGTGCGCACAACAAGAGAGTAAAAAATGTGAGTGAAGATAATAAAGAAGTGATGATAGCAACTCGTCACCCCCACAGACAGCCTCCGGTAACTGTTATTTCACTACAATTGACTACGGTGACCGAGTACGTCAGCGATGCCAACACGTATTTGAAGCAATCTGTAGTTTCTAAATTCTGGCCATCAAATTAGTAGTTCGAGGGTCACTACGAGTTTGCTAGGGGGGTCCGGCATGCCCCCCGAAGAAATTTTTGATTCTGAGATGCAATTTCCTGCATTCTGAGGGTCAAAAATGACAATAAATTGACAAAAAATGACAATAATTAAATTTTTTTTTTTTTTCTATTGCAGTGAAATTCGTAGTTTGATACAAACTGGTCGTAGTGGTGCAAAAGGAATAGAAATTCGTATAAAATACGGATAAATCGTAGTGGTTGGCATCTCTGGTACGTACTTTTTACAGATTTTACAATAGGTTGTATAATAAAAATGACTTTTCAGCCCGTGGACAGAAATGTGGTAAAGTTATCAGCTATGTGATTAGGCATACTGGCATAGGGGAGTGCAATTTTGATAGTAGTACATGCATGTTGTTACTTTTTTGATCAATTAAAGTACTGGGCCCTTGACAGAAAAAATCGTCTTAACATTAGTCTTAATATTAGTCTTAACATTAACTTTGTTTCGAAGATCATTGGCTAAAACACGGAAAGGTACGAGTTTTTAATACGCAGTGTATAGAGGTCCGGTCTACGATTAAGATGTAAAGACTAATGTTAGGAATAATTTTGTTTCTGCCATAGTCTATAATAAAATGTTAAAGTTAAAAGTAATGTTAACACTGAGCTTGTTTCTGACATTCGGGCCTATGGTTCTTTGTCAGAGAGAAGGAATAGATTAAAGTGAAAACAAAAAAAATGAAAAAAAATATTGAAATAAAATTCAAATTCAAAATATTAAAATTTTAAATTATTAATTAAAATTAAAATATTAAAATTAATAAAATTAAAAATTAATTAATTTTGAAGTGAATTGTAAACCTCGTAAGTAGCTCCTCGAATTTCTCCGCGGGGTCGGCGACGCATCCCGTATCCTCATCCTCCGGCATGGAAACCACATCCTACGTGAAGCCAAACAACGATGTGTAACTGATGATGTCACTCATCGCGTAACTTATACTTACATAAATAAATGTATAATGTCAGTTTTAATGCAATGACAGCGGCGAAGCAACTACAAATAGCTGATGATGTCACACATCGTGTAACTTATAAGGTAAATAAATGTGTAATGTCAATTATAATACAATGACAGCGGCCAAGCAACTACAAATAACTGATGATGTCACACATCGTGTAACTTATAAGGTTAATAAATGTATAATGTCAATTATAATACAATGAAACTACCCCTACAGAACGAACATCTATCGATGAAGGACACTTATGGCATTTCCCAAAAGGTGCCCTACGCTACATAATTCGACTGCGTAGGACTAAGCACGAATTTCAGATGAACGGCAGACGACAGCCTACAACTGAACCATGGATGACACACGGACAGCAGACGATGGGCGGGGCGGGCGAGTAACGCACCTGGTAGAACTTGCTCTGGTCGAAGCGTGCGCCCGGCGCTTGCATGTTCATCAACACCAGGTCCACGTGGTTTTCCTGCATGTCCGCAGCTCTCCTCACCGCCTGCATCTACAGAGGGGAAGAAATGTTACTGACATTATCTAGTAGGGGTCGCGTGCGGGGGTGGGTTTGGGTGAACGGTCACTGAGATAAGCTAGTGGAAGGGCATCTCACCCTCTCCCTTTGCCTAGCATCGCCCCACCCCGCCTTGTCCCCACCAACCTGCCCTGTCTCTCAACACCCCACCCTCTCCCTCTGCCCCGCATCGCCCCACCCTGCTTTGTTCCCCCCCCCATCTGCCCTGCATTGCAACCCCCACCCACTTACCTGCATACCAACCACCACCACTCCCCTTGCTGTGCTCCATCCCCACCCACCCCCTCACATACCTGAAGCTGTTTGTCGCCGGCGTGTGGATTGTCGTTGTTCGTGAACAGCATCACGCGCTGGTGGCCGAGCTTCTTTGCCTTGTTCCTGCATGCGCGCGCATGGGGGAGGAAGAAGAACAGAAATGATATTATGTATTTATATATATATATAGAAGTTCTGTTTCTACAAACCTGTGGTAGAACGTGGTACCTACGGCAAAATCCATAAAAATTGAAAAAATTCAAAATTCCATTAATTTTTGACTTTTTCTACTATATATACCACCTTATAGTAAAATCCATGAAAATTAGCCAGCCCTGACTTTCAAACATTTTAATTTCTACTATATAACCTACAGTAAAACCCAACAATAATAACTGGTGGGACGAAGCTGGACTGCTTTTTACGACACAGCACAAGCCACCGTGTGCAGAAGGGTAATTACTAATTACTTACTTAATTAATTACGTAATTTAAATTACTACGAGGGTCAACGCATCGACTTACGCTTTCGAGAACATGAGCGAACAAGTCCAGAGGGCGTCACTGAGCGAGTAGTCGTCGCTGCGGCCGTACTTGCTCGCGAATCCGTCGTTGTCCTCGCCTGTATCCGGGCAAAAAAAAAACACGAACGCTCGACGTCACGTCTTGTTCTTTTTCTGGTTTTCTTTTTTTTAATTAAATTTTCGGCGAAACGTCGACGACGTCTAATCGAATTATGTTTGCAACGTTGGTAGTAGGAAAAATTATCGAGCCTCATGTCCTTCTAGGGCTGAAGGGTCTGGGATTGGAGTCCCGCCATGGTCCCTGCTGTTGTGCCCTTGAGCAAGGCACTTTATCATGATTTGCTGTAGAAATGGGTTTATCTTACCACACGTGCAATCGACCCCACAACAGTAACTAAGTGACGCGTGATCGCCCCGGCAACTGTAACCAAACTAGGCGCGTTCGCCCCGGCAACCGTAACTAATCGACGCGCGATCGCCCCGACAACCGTAACCAAGCGACGAGCGATCGCCCCGGCAACCGTAACTAATCGACGCGCGATCGCCCCGGCAACCGTAACCAAGCGACGAGCGATCGCCCCAGCAACCGTAACCAAGCGATCACCCCGGCAACCGTAACCAAGCGACGCGCTGTCGTCTTGCTCGGCGGCGGACGGGGATCGACCTCGATCGCGACCCCTCCGACCTTTTCTGTCGTTCTCTTGTTCTTACCCTCTAGCAGCCTCTCAAGCTGCAGCACCCTCTCTGCTCCCGGCTGCTCGAGATCCTGAAGCACGTACACATTGCGGAAGTCTCCCGAATTCTTGCTCTCCCTCTGCAACGGACGACGCCAAGGAAAAAAATGTAATTTATTTTTCGGGGGCTACTTTTCAAGCTCGCGTGCATGAAAATAGCACTCTCTAAAATTTGGTTTGCATTGAACTCTATGCAAATTTACGTGGGCTCTTTTTGGCATTTTGGGTGCTAAATCGCCCCGAGCCCCCGTGTATTTTTTTCACTGGACGACGCACGCGTGAGTCCAGCAGCGGGCGCGCACGACGCGTACGCGGCGCGAGGAGAGCGATCGATGTTCGCGAATGACCATCGATGCCCGTCGATTAACGATGAACGATTAAGCATTAATTAGCATAAAATTAATGATGACCATTAATTCCCGTTGATTACGATTGACAATTAATGATTCCCATAAAAGTAACAATAAAAATTAACAACCGTGAAATACGATTAGCGATTTGCATAAATTACTAATAACAATCAACAACTTTCGATTACGATTATGATTAACGATTCGCGTATAATCGACGATAGCGATTAACGATCGCACGGCGATCGACGGCGACGACGATTGCACCGCACAGCGCTCGCCACGCCACGCGGCGCGTTACTCGTCTGAATCGCTCTAAAATCGCCGCCACAAAATAAAGAAACGAAGACGGAAACATTGAGAGACAGAGCGCCAGAGAGAAAGCTGTGCGCGCGTCTCTCGCGATCCCGTCCCCGCGGCTACGAGACTCACGGTTCCGTAGAATACAACAGCGAGGAGATCGCGGTTGCTGCCCACTATCTTGTTCGTCATCACGTTCTTGATGCACTGAAACGCAGCGTGGTAAGTTATCAACATCCTCGTTATGAACCCACGCACACGACTCATACCGTGACATTATCTTCATTGAAACTGTGAGAAGTCTCGTTCGTGCGTAAAAATGTTAATTTCGTAATTTTCATTGTGTTTTCGAACGCCATTCGATACTAATATCACTAGCGGTACTAATATCTGCTACCACTCCCGCTTACCTTTATACTAAGGTTGAAATGGCTGCCATGCTCTTCATCCACCTGCTCAAACATCGACTCTGTACAGTCGACCAGGAAGATCAGGCTGTCATTCTGACCAAATTGATACTGAAATCACAAGAACTCGCATTACGTCGTCGATAAACAATAAGGTCAGGGGGTTGTGATTAGGTTAGGTTCGTTTACAACAACAACGGTGACAACAACAAAAACAAAAACAACAGCAATGACAACCACAACAAACAGCAATAGTCTCCAATGCCATGGAAGCGTCGACGAAAATAAAACTATCAACCAAGAAATCAACAACAACAACAACAACAACAACAACAACAACAACATGTACCTGGTACTCTAGCTGATCTTCCTCAGCCTCCTCATCCTCACCGTTGCGTGACGGCCAGTGGTGGTCACCCATAGCAATGCTAAATAATGGGAATCGAAATCGTAGGAAATACTGTGAGTGTGACTGTCGTATATATTGGAATTGGATTATCCACTGCTGATGAGGGTGGTGGGAGGGTGATGAATAAGTGGGGAGAGGAGGAGAGAGTAGAGGAGTTAACAATGAAATTCCTCCACACCACTTTCTTTATTTCCTTCTCCCACTCTTCTAGATTCTCTGTGTACCTTTCCTACATCAATTATTCAATATTTCAGCGGATTCCTTCTCCACGTAAAACAGTGCCATCTATCGGGCAAAATATAAAATAATCGACCAGAAAATTGTTTCAATGTTACATTTTTTATATCGATAACCTACGAAAGTAGCAAGATGGAATAGTGGGATAAAGCTCACCGCGTCATAGTAGAATATACTCCGCGCTAAGACGCTTCTTTGTAAAGTATAAATCCCCATGTACCACACAATGATTGATTTAAACAAATATTGTGTTGCCGTACCCCTGCTTTTCCCAACACCTGACAATGCATTGTGTTGAAATCCCAAGTTCACATGTTTGCAAGTCATGCTCTTTTGTTGACCGGCGAAAAGGTGTTGTGAAATTGTTCACACGCGAAGCAGAATTTTAGCAAATATTTGTCAATGATGGAAGATTCCAGCTTAGATAACTTTTTCGCGAAGAAAGACAAGAGCAAAAAATTGAAATCTAAAAACAAATTCAAGGCACAACCGCAAGAGGTGACGACGGCATCTCAAGATAAGGCGCAGCAGAGTCACAAGGCCACAACCACAGCGGCGTCGGCGCTGGCGCCTTCATCTACAAGTACAACATCGGAAGCGGCTGCGGCGCCGTCACCACGACCGACCAAGAAAGAAAAATCCGCCAATGCCTCAGAAGCGGTAGGTGCCACGCGGGTCTGCGTAACACCGACACGGGGCCTGCGTGGCACATACACCGGCATTCGCACCAACCGATCATTTGCTTCGCGCGAGCTCACGCAAGTTTTTATTAGGCAGTCACTGCCCTAGCTCCTGCTTTAGGTTGCGCGGTGTTTGACTGAAGTGTGCAGCAGTCGCACCACTCCGCCTTTCTCCAATGTCAATAGTGAATACATCGAAATTATTCTCCTTCGCGTTTCGGTACTAATTTGATCGAGCGAGTTTAGTGTGGGCGGGGGCGTCCGATCGAAACGTATCGTGTGAGCGTTATCTTTTTCACAAGCTTCGTGAGAGCTAACGCGCCATCCGTGTCGACCATTCTGGAATATCTGCCTAAACATGCGCCATTTCATTTGCACTTTCAGCAAGACGAAGCGGAGGACTGGAAAGATTTCGAGGTAGAGACGGAAAAGGACTATTCAGGACTGCGAGTACATTCGCTGCAAACGACGTAAGAACTCTGGGCTTACGTTTAACTTCTACTGCACCCGTGCGTGCGTAAAAAACACACGCTCATGTACAGTGAGCGAGTACATTCCGAAGTAAATGTGACGTCCGTAGCCACTTTGCGCCCGGGGACGCGATCGTTCACGACTAAATTTATGTTCGCAATTGATGTGCAAATTTTGGTTGTAAACCTCTTTAGTGTATACCATCTGATGTTACCAGCTCCTGCGCTGACAATCTTTGATATTTTTTGTTCATATGTTTATGGCCCTATTTGAAATGTATGATATTTAACATCGCAGACAATTACCCAACAATAGAGTCATCATTCTATCAATTGCTTGATTGCCTATGCAAGACAGGTTTCACCATTAATATGTATAATAGCAGTCACACCATTAATTCTTGGAATAATGTTATTATATTTCATTTTATCTGATATAATTTTAATTTAGAGATGAATCCAATATATTTGCCGACGCAGCTGTTTCTAGCGCCGATCTTGCTGCCCTCATGAAGCGAGAGATTAATTGATTGATTGATTCATTCATTCATTAAGATGATTGATTGATGTTGATTGATATACTGATCACTTGCCAGAGCTTGCCGCAGCATTACTACCATCGAAATAAACATTCTGGTTTCGTCGCGAAATGAAATCACTTCGCAACGCCTTCGATTTCGCGTCACTGACGGAGGAGGTTGTACGGTCTCTTCTCTCACAGGGCGGATACTGAGGAGGATGGGGACGAGAGGCAGCAGGACAACGGGGAAGACGGAGAAGGGGAGAGGAAACGGGACACCAGCTCCGGGCCATGGAGCAAGTCGAAGGCCGTACCAGGTGAGCGGGGGCTGTCCCGACCGTTAACTACGCATCTGTCTAGTACGAATCGCGTATGATGACGTGTTCGGTGGAGCTAATACTGCCATTCTGTGCGATTCAACTGTATGCCAAGACACAGTGGCACATTGTCAGACACAAAATTAATCTTAACGTTGGTGTTAACATTAACTTTTTCGGCTTGATCGTAAAACAAAATTAGTCTTAACGTTAGTTCTAACTAGTGGTGTTCCGATTAATCGAGTTCGTCGATCATTACTCATTCGGGCCGCCGAGTTGATTAATCGAGTACAAAATCGGACAACCTAGTACAACTCTAACTTGGCCATGTTGACTAGTTCTCGGCGACAGCTCCACTAACCTGCTCACAAACCCACTGTGTGGTTGTAACAAAGTGAGCGGGGCACCAGTTGTGTTTTATCTTTGTTATTGCATTATTGTCCGCACGTTTGGTATAATACATAGACAAACACCAGAGTTAAACATAAACGCAAGGAAATCGTGTATTCGCCATAACACTCCGTGCCGCTTAGGGCCATGATAAAATGGTCGGCAAACACCAATATTAATAAATAACAATTATGAAAAAATAAGTGTAGTTATTTTATAGCTATAATGATTTCGAATCACTTTTAATTTGTTTTCCAATGTAGGTCTTGCTACAGGGTAAATAATAGATAGTAATAAGTACTAGTAAACACGATGTGGTGTAAATTTTTCAAAGAAGTAAGCGACCTTGTTTCCTGAACATCAATCCCAACGTGGAAGAGCGCGAAGAGCAGACGCCACTTTTCCCATACCCTGGAAAAACTTCCCCAACTTCCAAAACTCAGATAATAAGAAAAATCAGAAAATACAATGAACAACTCAAAATAAAACGCAAAATCTGTATTGGTTATTATATTAATAAATATTTTTTTAAGTTAATTGTTTAAAATGTATTAAATTAATACACTTGATATTAATTACTTGATACACTTGATACTCTTACTATTAATTCAATTGAATTGTAAGTAATTATTGTGTGTAAATTGTATTAAATGTTTTAAATAACTTTATTAATCATAACCAAGTATTTATTCATCTTCGTGTTCAATAAATAGTAGTAGTTCGATAAAAGTACTTAAATTAGTAATTACTTAATTTACTTACCATTAAATACTAGCTACAAATACAATAATGTCAATATTCCTTCGCAATACACCGGTTGTGTCGACGAAGACGCGGCGTCACCGCGTCGTCGCCGCAATCTAAAATGATCGATGATTAATCGAGCATCGATCGTTTTGTAAAACCGATGATCGATCATGAAATTTGGACCGATCCTCCAACACTAGTTCTAACATTAACTTTTTTCATAGACCGTTGATAGAATTCTGTTCCATGAAGCTATTTAGATTTTTCTTTCTGACGACGGTACCCACAATCTTTCCCGTGTGATTTAAAAGCCGTGATTCGAAATGCCGTCGTGACATTCTCAACCTCGGTTGCTTTCACTCAATTTCTCACTTCTCCTCACTCAGTTTTCCACTCCTCCTTTCACTCAATTTCTCGCTCCTCGCTCGGTTTTCTACTCCTCCTTTCACTCAATTTCTCGCTCCTCGCTCGGTTTTCCACTCCTCCTTTCACTCAATTTCTCGCTCCTCGCTCGGTTTTCCACTCCTCCTTTCACTCAATTTCCGTCTCCTCACTTCCTCCTAACTCAGTTGCTCATCCTCTCACTCAGTTTCTTACTCTTCCTTCACAAACCAATTTCTCACTCCTCAACTTTTCTCACTCTCATCTCAATTTCTCATCTTCTCCTGCTCACTCAATTTCCCTTTCACTCAATTTCTCACTCGTTTCCTCCTCCTCACTCAATTTCTCACCCTTTTTCTTCCTCCTCTTCACTCATTTACTCCTCTTCTTCTCTCACTGCAATTCTCACTCAATTTCAGCCGGTAGAAATAACTTTTGACAAGTAGTCCCACACATGACTCCTTCCTCAAGAAAGGGAGGTCTGCGGCGAAATGAGGGAATCCGCAGTCTGAGTTTCAAAACTAAACGATAATTAACAATAACTGCATGTGCTTCATTTTGAAGATTCATCGGGTTGCAGTCTGTCAAATTTTCTTTGAATTGACCCTTAAACAATACGGTCAATTTTGCCGTGGGAATAATAAGGAAGGCCAATTGCTCCTGGAAGCGAACTAGTTAGTATATTATATTGAACATAACGCAGATTTTTCAGGAGTGCCTGTACTCCTGCATAATGTCAAACAGGGCAGCCGAACATAAATGCGGGAGTATTTGACTCCGACTCGCGTTAATTCGCCACAAATCTGCAAATTTCTTCCATCTCCTCACCCAATTCTCCGTTCCTCACGCATTTCTTCGCTCTCACTCCGCAGAGTTCGCGCGGCCAGTAGTGGAGGAGCGGCAACCCGTCGCGCTGCCGGCGCCAGACGTACTTGCGCATCTATGCCCCGGCGGTTCGATGCGTCGGCGGCAGGGGCTAGGGCGCGGAAAGCGTCGCCACAATCGAGAGCGAGGAGCAAGTACCGGCTGTTCATCGGCTTCCCAGCGCGCCGAGACGAAGCAGGGTGGGTAGTCCGGCGCCGTGCGGGTATGCCTGTGTGGCCATGCGTGTGTTGGGTGCGTGGGTGTGCCTATGCCGGCCGTGGTGTGCTGGTGTGTGGTGACTGTGTGCCTGGTGTTGTTGGCGTGGTGTGTGGTGTATGTGGTGCCTGTGTGGCCTGAGTGTGTTGTTGGGTCGGTGATGTGGGTGGTGATCTGGGGTGCTTGGTGATGTGTTTGGGTGGTGGCGTTGCTTAAGGTGGGCTCTGCGTGGCTGTCTGTGTTGGGTGGTGCCTGCATGACCTGGTGTGTGTTGGGTGGTGGGTGGTGTCTGTGTGGCCGGGTGTTTGGTGTGTGTTGGGTAGTGTTTGTGTGGCCGGGTGGGTGGTGTGTGTCGGGTGGTGTGTGGTGTGTGTTGGGTGGTGGGTGGTGCCTGGCGGCGTGGTGGATGGTGGGTGGTGCGTGTGTTAGCATCGGCTTGTAAAGAGTGGTCACATAATTCGTCTGGATGTTGTTGTTTTTTACCCTCTCTCCTATAATGCCATCTATGTTCTATTTCTCTACACGCACTCTTTTTCTGCCTTTCTTCTTCTCTCTGTCTCTCTCTCACCCTCTATCTATACCTCCCCCCTCCTCTCTCTACGCCCCCTCCTCTCTCTCTGCTCTCTCTTCGTGTCTCTCTTGCCTGTCTCTTCTCTCGTCGTTCTCTCTCTCTCTCTCTCTCTCTCTCTCTGTCTCTCTCTCTCTCTGTCTCTCTCTCTCTCTGTCTTTCTCTATCTATCTTTCTCTCTCTCTCTCTCCCTCTCTCTGCCCTGCTACATGTACCTACCTGCATCTTCCAGACCCTGGCAGTCGTCGGAGCAGCAGTTTGAGACCGTTCGCTTCGGATACAAGTCGACCCCCGACCAGACGTCAGCGGCAACGGGCCCCAAGCTACACCTCGGCAATCAGTACGACGCGCTGAGCGCCGGTGACTAGACTTTTGGCGCGCTCCCACGAAAGGAGACGGAGCGGACGAGGGAAGGGAGGGCGACATAGCGGATGCGCGGTCGTCGCGGCAACGAAGCGGCGACGTGCGCGACGCGCATTTGGGTTTCTTGTCGTCGAAAGAGGAAGATGGGTGTCGAAATGAATTTGTGTGTGTGCGTGGGTGCGTGCGTGCATGCGTGCGTGCGCATGCGTGCATGTGTGCGCGTGCGTGCCCGTGAACGAGTGTGCGTGTGTGTGTGTACGTGCGTGTGCTTGTGTGCCCATGAGCGAGTGTGCGTGCGTGCGGTTTTTGTCTGTGTATATCCGAGCATTTTTGAATGTGTGCATGTAAATGCGTATGTACGTGCGTGCGTGCATGTGTATGTACGTGTGTGCATGTTTGCATGCATGTGTACGTGTGTGCATGTTTGCATGCATGTGTACGTACGTGCATGTGTGCGTGCACGTGTATGTACGTGCATGCGTGCATGCGTGCATGCATGTGTATCAGGAGTTAATGAGACAAAAAAAATTGTATCTTTAACTCCTGATGTGTATGTATGTGCGTCCATGTTTGCATGCATGTGTACGTGCGTGCATGCGTGCATGCATGTGTGCGTACGTGCGTGCGTGCGTGCGTGCATGCATGTGTACATTCGTGCGTGCGTGTGTGCATGTTCGTGCGTGCGTGTGTGCATGTGTACGAACGTGCGTGCATGCATGTGTACGAACGTGCGTGCATGCGTGCATTCGTGTGTGTGTGTGTGTGTGATTGGAGTGTGGGTGACGACTATTCCTGCCTCGCATTCCCTATTCTCGTGCCTGCGTCTTCGTCTCTCTCTCTCTCTCTCTCTCTCTCTCTCTTGCCGGCGGTCGACGCGTGTGGACCTCCCTTCCCTATCTCAACGAAGGAAGTTTTTTGCTAGAAGAGAGCCCGCTCTCGCTGCGAATTCGTGCGGAGCGACATGACGACGACATTTGGCGAGAAGAGTTTGATCTGTGAGCTTTGTTTCTTGCAACAACTTCGTCTCGGGGGGAGCAGTCTGAGAGAGGCCCGGCCGGTGTGAGCGTGGATCTAGCAAGAAGCTGCCATTCTTCCAGGTGTTTCCCCCAGGTGAAATCCTCAGTGGCACTCAGGTTTCGGAGGAGAAGGAGGGGCAGCAGCAGCAACAGCAGCAGTAGCAATGCCACCAGCAGCATTGCTAGCAGCAGCAGCAGCAGTAGCAACACCAGCAGCAGCAGCAGCAGCAACACCACCAGCAGCAGCAGTAGCAACACCACCAGCAGCATTGCTAGCAGCAACAACAGCAGCAGCAACACCACCAGCATCACCACCAGCAGCAGCAGTAGCAACACCACCAGCAGTAGCAGTAGCAGTAGCAACACCAGCAGCAGCAGCAGTAGCAACACCACAAACAGAATTGCTCGCAGCAACAACAGCAGCATTAGCAATGCTAGCAGCAGCAGTAGTAGTAGTAGTAGTAGCTGAACAGCAGCAGCAGCAGCAGCAGCAGCAGCAGTAGCAGCAGGAGGAGACCGCAGCAGAGGTCGCATTTTGAGCTTCCATCGAGGAGGTCGGGTCGAAGTTCAAACCCGCAGCACCAGGTGGCGCAATGAACGGTGTTACTGCGTGGGTAGCCGATATGCTACTGTAGGAGTGCAGGATAGATGCACGTCCTAGTGTCACGTGGTTATAATTAGCTAATTGCCATCGGGAGGGTCGTTTCGCCACATCACTCGTGATTCCCTTCCACTGAAGAGATCTGCTCAAAGGCATGTCTTATATGGATTGATTCGGACTCGTGAATGTCTGGTCGTCGTCGACGGGAGTGGATTAACGTTTAATTAATTTAATAATTTAATTTTGATAGATCCGCTCACGGCGTATCGGTCCGTTTACACCATAAGTCACTGCGCGTAATTTCAGCATTTTCTATCTATCTATTTTACAACACCAATTCAGCTGTTTTTATCAGTGGATTGATCAATTGATCGGAATGATTGATTGATTGGTTGGTAGTGTGGTTGACAAGTCCGGAAAGATTATGTGCCGTGTGTGTGTGTACACCACTACTATGCTGTATTGACTGCCGTAAGTGTTGTGTTCATGTACAGTGGCCACTTGTTCATTTTGACTGCAGCGATCTCTTTGATGATGCTGTGGGTTCACCTGGGTTTTTGTTGCCTTGCGTTGTTGACCTTCGACCTTTTGTAGCAATTGTGGTCGTGCCGTGTGAGGAGAAACGTCTGAATTGTGGTGGGAAAAAAACGATGATTTTTTTCGCCATTAACATTTTCCACCAAACTGACGGTATAATATAGCCTTGATTAAAGTCATTCATCATAAGATCATATTATATCGTGATTATATGAGTACGTTTTTTTGTTATCAGCGAGTGCATTTTCTCACTTTCGCACACATGACACACGTTTATTTAATATTCAATTATATTTTTTTATCAGTGCTAATAACGGAATACTAGGAGCAGAGAAGGGAGGCATTTGAGAACTGGGGATATTATATATTAATTTTAACGACAGTACATTGATAAAATATATAATCAATATAAGCTTGCAAGCTCCTCACTGTCAGTGCAATTATAATATTGTCGCTGCACTTACGCAACATGACATTATATGTGACGCACGCCCATCTAACGTTCGATATAACCACTGCAGACAACAGACTTTCAAACACCATATTATATCATAACATTTTATAATATAAATAATTTTCTATAATGAGGCTGGATACACCATAGTCTCATATAATAATAGTAGAAAGAGCCGAAGTGTCGTTTTCCGTATCTCCTCCGAAACCGTGCCGCGTGTGCTCACGCGAATCGAGCTGGGGCCCCTTCTGGGCGTCGCGAATACATTCCGCTAAGTTAGAACGCGATTTTTTCATCGTAAAGTCACTTTTGGAGGCAATTTTCTAAAAAGTTATGTGCCCGAAGAAACTTCGGCATTCATCGGCGGAAACCCGCACCAACTTTTAAGATCGCAAAATCCGCATGCGCAGTCCAAGCAGAGTACGTGAATCACCTTGTGATTGACGTGCTCTCATCGGAAACCCGCATCAAATTTTAAGATCGCCAAATCCGCATGCGCAGTCCAATCAGAGCATGTGAATCACCTGTTACCGACCGCAACGTCCAAGATCACGGCGTCGACGAAGACGGCTTGGAGTAAATCTCGATTTTCATGTTTTCCACTCCTCCTTTCACTCAATTTCTCGCTCCTCGCTCGGTTTTCCACTCCTCCTTTCACTCAATTTCTCGCTCCTCCTTCTCACTCCTCCTAACTCAGTTGCTCACTCCTCCTCACTCAATTTCTTACTCTTCCTTCACACACAATTTCTCACTCCTCAATTTCTCACTCCTCACTCAATTTCTCACTCTTCTTCCTGCTCACTCAATTTCCCCTCTTCACTCAATTTCTCACTCTTCTTCCTCCTCCTCACTCAATTTCTCACCCTTTTTCTTCCTCCTCTTCACTCAATTTCTCACTCTTCTTCCTCCTCACTCAATTTCTCACTCAATTTCAGGGGTAGAAATTAACTTTTGAACAAAGTAGTCCAACTGACTCCCTTCCCTCAAGAAGAGGGAGTCTGCGGCAAAATGAGGGAATCCGCAGTCTGAAGTTCAAAACTAAAGATATTAACAATAACGCATGTCGCATGTGCTTATTTTGAAGATTCATGCGGTTGCACGTCTGCCAAATTTTCTTTGGACATTTGCTGAAAAAATACGGTAATTTTGCGTGGGAATAATAAGGAGGCCATGCTCTGGAACGAACTAGTTAGTATTATTATTGACATACGCAGAATTTTCAGGGAGTGACACGTACTCCTGCATATGTCAAATCAGGGAGTCCGACAGTAAATCAGGGAGTATTTGACTCCGGACTCGCGTTAATTTCGCACTCTGCAATTTCTTCCATCTCCTCACCCAAATTCTCACGCCTCCTCACTCAATTTCTTTCGCTCTCACTCACGCAGAGTCAGTGCCGGCAGTAGTGGAGGAGGCGGAACCCCCGTCGCAGCCTGCCGCGCCCCAGAAGTACGTGCCGCCATCTATGCGGCGGTTGATGGCGTCCGGCGGCAGGCGGGGGCCGCGGAAAGGTCCGCCACAGATCGAGAGCGAGGAGCAATTTCCGAGCTTGTCATCGGCTCCCAAGGACGCGCCGAAGACGAAAGCCAAGGGGTGGGTAGTCGTGCAGCGTGGCGGGTAGTGCCTGTGTGGCCTGGTGTGTGTTGGGTGGTGGGTGGTGCCTATGCGGCGTGGTGTGTGGTGTGTGGTGCCTGTGTGGCCTGGTGTGTGTTGGGTGGTGTGTGGTGCTTATGCGGCGTGGTGTGTGGTGTGTGGTGCCTGTGTGGCCTGGTGGGTGTTGGGTGGTGGGTGGTGCTTATGCGGCGTGGTGTGTGGTGTGTGGTGCCTGTGTGGCCTGGTGGGTGTTGGGTGGTGTGTGGTGTGTGGTGCCTGTGTGGCCTGGTGTGTGTTGGGTGGTGTGTGGTGT